CGCTCTTCGTAGAATCTCGAATTCTCTTTTCCTTTGCCTTTCATCATACAACCATTTCTCCACCGGCTGTAAAAGAAAATATATATAAATGGGGATAGATGACTGGAGTGTGTAAAAACAGTGAGGACGCAGAAGTGAGAGTGATGGGTGCTAAAACAATAAAATTTAACACATAATAAAGGGCAAAGCATGGTAGAGAACGGTGAGGTTGGGGAGGTAGAAAATATCATTATACGTTTCAGGAGAAAGCCAAAGCAAAAACACCTGTGTGAGGGAAAAGTGCCTGCCAAAACACCAAGTACTGTTTCTCGATTGAAAAAAAAAAAGTTTAAACGACCATTTGGACCTTTGCAAGGCCAAAGGCAACTTGGAGGCATACTGTGTCCTACAGTTCTGTAGGTGGGGGACCTCGTGCCTGTCAAAAACCTAAATGTGTAGGGCCCATTGTCACTCCAGTGGGTTCCCCAGGGCAAGGGCACCTATCTGAAGGGCAGAGAGATAAGAAGAAAGATGTTTAAAACACAGAATGTGGAAGCTACTTGGACACGTAAAAGGAGTACCTCAGTTAGCAGGAAGGAAAGGAAAGGGGAAAAAAACAACCCGTTTCAAAATGTTTGGATCCTACAACAAGTGCACGATGTGCCAAGGGCTGTAAGGAATATAAGGGAATCTGAAATGAGACGTGTGGGAGGGGTAGTCAGTTTCTTTATCTCTAAGAAGCTTATCTTACCCTAGACTAGGACACGAGGGTGGTTCAGTTGTAGGTTAGAAAGGCCACTGTAACATGTTTAATTATTAAATGTAGTTATAAAAGTAGTACTTACTTGTTAATTCAAGCAAAGACCTGTATACAAATGTTGTCTTGTCACTTTCCTCTGTCAGATGTTGGGCTGTACCACTTCCTCAAACTTTGAACGATAGTTTATCTTCCTGCAAAAATACATCCTGAATGATCAAAATGGCTGATGTAGGGAAGGCGGAAGACAGACAAGTAGGAACTGTGGTTATGGTCAGAGGCCACTTGCAGTAATACTGCCCAGGATATACTGGGAGGAGGAAATCTCTTTGTTCTGGAACATACCTTAGAGGGATAGAATTGGTAGGAAGATTGCTCAGAGTGGGGATGGAGGGGTGCTCAGAGTCACAGCTTGAATCAGAAGCGGTTTGTTTACCTTTCCAGAAAGTGAGCTACTTTCTAAGCCTTCCTGGGGAGGAAGAATTGGCATCACTTGGTGACTGAGGAGTTAGAGGGGAGTTGAACTCTAGTGTTGTTGAGCTTTTGGATGGTAGGAAAAAAAAAAAAGGGGAGGGCTTCCCTGGTGGCGCAGTGTTTGAGAACCTGCCTGCCAATGCAGGGAACACGGGTTCGAGCCCTGGTCTGGGAGGATCCCACATGCTGCGGAGCAACTAGGCCCATGAGCCACAACTACTGAGCCTGTGCGTCTGGAGCCTGTGCTCCGCAACAAGAGAGGCCGCGATGAACAGTGGCCCCCGCTTGCCACAACTAGAGAAAGCCCTCGCGCAGAAACGAAGACCCAACACAGCAAAAATACATAAGTTACTAAACTCCTACCGCGAACATCTTTAAAAAAAAAAAAAAAGGTGAAATGGTCTATTTTTTGCACCATATTGTTAATCCCTTTAAGAAGGAGATACTCTGTAGGTTATAGAACTAGAGAATTAGCTTAAGTGATCCCTGTAAGATTTGGGGATCCAGAAACAGAAGTCCCTCATTTATTCAGTATTTATTGGCATTGTGTGAGGTGGAATTTCCTGCTCCTCAGAAAGCCTCCTGTTGTGGCTGAGAAGTGTAGCCTCTTGATTCAGGGCTGTATGCTAGGTTGTAAAGCATTGTAGTTACAGATAACATCCACGGAGCTAAAGTCTTTCCAAAAACATTGATTAGCAAGTTTTATTTTTTAGTTTGGTGTTGAATCACTGACTTAGCCTGTTAGACCCGCTCAGAGAGAGCCCATGGGAAACAATAGTCTGACCCAGAGACCTCACATGGTAGCTGCTTCCTTTCTTTTCCACAAGTTTAAATAACCACCCAAGTGCTTCAAAGGACCCGGAAGTCAGTTCAGTTTTTAATAGGTTAGAAGTGCATTTTGACTTTTCTTCTTCTTGACCTTTTACCCAACCTCTTTCCCACTGATGGTCAGTTGGATGTAGTGGATGTGGAGTTTGTGCCTGAAACTACGACAGTAAATAATGCCAGAGAATGTGCAGTGCTCTGTATATGAAAGCATCATATTCAAGTTTGATCAGTGGTGAATTTCTTTGCTTGTACAGAAGAATAAATCATAATTACAGTCTTATCTTATTTAGATTATAGCTGTAACTATGCAATTTTTTTCCTATTACACTTCTTATAAAAAGTACCCCAGACATGGGTGTTTAAAGAAAGCTACTTTGAGAGTTTCTGTTAAATGTGCATTATATAAGTTCTTTCTGCCTCACAAAGTTCAAGATTGTGAAAATTTTCTTGAAATTTAACCTTATTTAAATCCTTAAGAGAGAAAAAGAAGAGTGGCGCATATCCCCAATGTACTAGCTTTTCAGGGGACTGTCTGAGGAATTAGTTTCTGACTAGCTCAATTCAGGGTCCTGATGCGACCTGGTGTACTGTTTGTTTTGTTTTTTTTTTGACATCTTTATTGGAGTATAATTGTTTTATAATGGTGTGTTAGTTTCTGCTTTATAACAAAGTGAATCAGTTATACGTATACATATGTTCCCATATCTCTTCCCTCTTTCGTCTCCCTCCCACCCTCCCTATCCCAGCCCTCTAGGTGGTCACAAACCACCAAGCTGATCTCCCTGTGCTATGCGGCTGCTTCCCACTAGCTGTCTATTTTACGTTTGGTAGTGTATATATGTCCATGCCACTCTCTCACTTCATCCCAGCTTACCCTTCCCCCTCCCCGTGTCCTCAAGTCCATTCTCTAGTAGGTCTATGTCTTTATTTCCATCTTACCCCTAGGTTCTTCATGACATTTTTTTTCCTTAGATTCCATATATATGTGTTAGCCTATGGTATTTGTCTTTCTCTTTCTGACTTACTTCACTCAACAGTGGCCCCCGCTTGCCACAACTAGAGAAAGCCCTCGCGCAGAAACGAAGACCCAACACAGCAAAAATACATAAGTTACTAAACTCCTACCGCGAACATCTTTAAAAAAAAAAAAAAAGGTGAAATGGTCTATTTTTTGCACCATATTGTTAATCCCTTTAAGAAGGAGATACTCTGTAGGTTATAGAACTAGAGAATTAGCTTAAGTGATCCCTGTAAGATTTGGGGATCCAGAAACAGAAGTCCCTCATTTATTCAGTATTTATTGGCATTGTGTGAGGTGGAATTTCCTGCTCCTCAGAAAGCCTCCTGTTGTGGCTGAGAAGTGTAGCCTCTTGATTCAGGGCTGTATGCTAGGTTGTAAAGCATTGTAGTTACAGATAACATCCACGGAGCTAAAGTCTTTCCAAAAACATTGATTAGCAAGTTTTATTTTTTAGTTTGGTGTTGAATCACTGACTTAGCCTGTTAGACCCGCTCAGAGAGAGCCCATGGGAAACAATAGTCTGACCCAGAGACCTCACATGGTAGCTGCTTCCTTTCTTTTCCACAAGTTTAAATAACCACCCAAGTGCTTCAAAGGACCCGGAAGTCAGTTCAGTTTTTAATAGGTTAGAAGTGCATTTTGACTTTTCTTCTTCTTGACCTTTTACCCAACCTCTTTCCCACTGATGGTCAGTTGGATGTAGTGGATGTGGAGTTTGTGCCTGAAACT